GGCATAGAAGTTGAATTAATCATGAACTAAACATGCATGAATATCGATATAAGAGGTCCAATCTAGCCACCTGTCGGGGCTCATTGGCTTCTCCTAACATAGCCTCTATGCTTCCACATTAGAACCATATACTAGGAGGTGCTGTCAAATAACGATCACTACAAATGCATCTTGCTAGGTCCGTTATCGCATATTCTAATAATAATTCACTCTCAATCAACTAAGAACATGAATTTGCAAGTAGATTGAAGAATAACAAGCATATAAAGACTTTAATCATAAATAAATCAATTTCAAACCCTAGAACATGCTCAAGATCCAACTACACCACAACCATCCCCTTAATGGGGGACTTACTCACTAGTAATGATAATAACAAGATTAGTTAACAAATAACCAAGAATCAACATGATTAACATGCAACACTAACAACTAAAACAACAACAACAATAATAATAATAATAATAATAATAATAATAATAATAATAATAATAATAATAATAATAATAATAATAATAAACATATAAAATAAAGGATAGAGAGTTAGAGATTCTCATTGATTGAAGATGAAAATCTATAAACAAGATGATCAATTTTCTTCTTCAAAATCCAAGTTCAACAATGGTGAAACCCTCACTTTCTCTCTCTAAACTACTCTAATCCTAAGCTAAACCTAGAGAGATAAGCTCTCCTAAAACTAATTAAGAAAATAGAATAATAATTTGATTTTTTTTTTTTTATGGAATAAAACTAATTACCTCAAAAATGGGTATTTATACAAAGCTAAAGAAAATAGAAAAATAAAAAGAAGGAAAATAATAAAGAAAAGAAAGGAAAAAGAAAAGAAAGGAAATAAAATAAAAATAAAAGAAAGTGGAAAAATAGAAAAACCCACAAATCCCCCAAAACGTCATACCACTACTTCCTCTTCTTCTTTTTAAATTAAGCTGCTCTAAAATGGGGTTTTAATACCAAGATTTGCATCCCATCAAACACCATCATCAATCATCATCATTAAATCGCCACCGTTCATCCTCAACAGCATTCATCGTGCATCAATTTACGCCGTTGATCTTCATTAATAACCACGTGAGAAGCTCGTGATTGTGCCCAGAATTGTGCGTCCGTGAAGAAGCCGCGCAATTGCTACTGCCTAAAATCTGTTTTTGGACTCTATTTGTGCGCCTTCTGATAGAGCTGCGCGCCCACATTGAAATCTAATCGGAAATTGGAGCTTTCCAATACCGTATCATTGCTGGTTGGGTCTTCAGTCTGATTCAATATTGCTGCAATTGGGGCTGGCAAATTGAGGTTCAAAAGTGGTAATCAAGGGTGTGTGGAGACGGTGGTCAGGTGTTGCGGCTGCCGCTGCAATTGATGGGGCTGTGACTTGGTGGCGAGAGGTAATGCAACAGTTATTGCGGTGTTAACGGTGGACTGCAGAGGGTGGTGAGAGTTGCAGCGATGTGAGAGATTAAGGTGTATGCGGGCTGTTGCGGCTAAACAGGGGTGTTGCGATTGTTGGATAGTTGATGTTGTTGTTTGGTTTTAGTGTGGCAGATGTGGTGTGGTGGTGGTGGCTGCTGCAATTGAGTGGCTGCAGTAGGTGAGGTTAAGAAGGTGGGATGGAGGTTAAGAAGGTGGGGTGAAGGATAGGAAATGGCAGCAGCCTAGTGAATGAGTGATTGAATTAAACCACAAACTTTGGAGTTTCGAACATGGCCTTAAATTAGAACATGAACCTTGACCCAAGCGCATACCTACACACATAAAAAAAAACCGAGAAGAGAAGTAAAATGAAAATAAATAAAACAAATTAAATAAAGAGAAACAACACTAAAACGATAAAGCTAACAAGCAATAAATTAAAATAAAATATGAAAATAAAGAAAATCAACTAAACAAGCCAAAATAACGAAAGTAAAAAGAAACTTTATTAAAAGGAAAATAAGAGAATAAAAGGGAAAATAAGATAAATCAAGCCCGAAAATGACTCTAAAACTACTCCCTAAGAGTGACATTATGTCACTCATCAAGCATCCAACAATTGCATGTATCCAATTGATATAAATGAATTCTGCAAAAAATTTCAAGTGAAACAAGGGGTATTTTCAAGTGTAGTAAATTAAATTAAAATTGAGTTTAATGTAGAAACCCTATGAACTATCTTGAAAGTTCCAACTGAGGGATGTAAGATGTATGTGAAGGGAAAATCTAGTGTGAAGGTATGTAGGAAATTTTCTAGGAGGTGATATAGCTGAGTTTCTAGGAGGAAAAAAGGGGGGAGAACACAATGAGCCACAATGATATGAGCCCTATGAATAAGTTGTTGTTTAATTTGGTGAAAAAGACTATCTAGCCTAGAACTCAAAAGAAGGGGGAAGCCTCGATGGACATGGCTGTTATTTCCTGTCCATGCAAAAAGATAAAAATAAACTTTCCCTCCCTTATGTATCAACATTTAGCTTAATGTGTTCCTGGCAAGAACAAAGTGGGTTATGGAGCTATTTTATTTATTGTATTTGAATCACTTAGAGTTGAACTCAAAGGGAAATATGGGGGATAGAAGGAGAAGGCAGAAAATGTGATAAATGAAGAAACTCTACTAGGTAATAAGCATAGAAGTTGTGAATGAGAGTATTCATAAGTTGGAATAAAAGAAATCCACTCCTAGTGGAAAGAAGAAAGAAGGGGATGCCTTAGGGGAACCACTGAGAAAGAGCAGAAGATTGTTAGTTAGCTCTTTCCCTCAAGCATGTATGGAGAAACCCCTAGAGTTGGATTCTGATGAAAATGTGCTTGAGGGGCAGGTGTCTGAACTTTCAGACAAAGTTGAGATTGATGAGAAGCAACTCAAAGAGGCTATAGGAAAAATTCAGAAGCTGGAGAGAGAAGTACATGGTCTTGAGAAGAGTCTTGGGAACAGAAGAGGGAGTTTCAAAAGGCTATCAAGAACTTGGAAGATAAACTGGAAGCAAGCATTGGGCACCAAAAGGAGGACAACAAGAAGATTCTAGAGTTCTTTTTGAGTTAATCCAGCTTACATCTCTCTAGCCTATCTTAACCTTAGCCTATCTTAGCCTAGCCTAGCCTTAATTTCATCTTTTCTTCCTGCTGTCTAAGTCATGAACATTTTCAGTTTCTCTTTTTAAAACTTTGAACTATTTTGGGTTTGTAAATTTGCTAAATAGAATGTTATTTTGGTTTTTAATTATAATTTGGAACTTTGCTTATGCATGTGTGTTTTTTATATTATGAAAGCATGTGCAGAAAAGTGGAATTAACTAAAGGGAATTCAGCAGCACTGCCTTCAGTTTCCTACACTCGATGAATTGCTTGTGGGGCTGTGGATAGATGCTTAATAACTTAAATTTACAAGACTTTTTGTTGATGCTAAAAGGGAGAAAAGAAGAAGCAAACTTGAAGGCTGAAGTTACTTTGGGTTCTAGTCGATAAAGTATCAGAAGTTTCTCTGATGTTGTGTATAAAATATTTTAATAGTTTCAGTTTTTATTGTGTTCTATTATTTTCGTTCTGTCATAGTTATTTTTGTTTTTGTTTTTTTTTATTTCTATGTGTGTTTACTTTCTGTCAATAACTAAAAATACAAAAATATGTCCGTCTATGTGAATCAACTTTCCTTAGAAGTTTTCTAAAGTTTGTCATCATCAAAAAGGGGGAAATGGTTGAAGCTTAAGGGTTTTGATGATAATGAACATAAACTAGCAAACTTCAATTAATAAGAATTCTCTAAGTGTTGTAAATAAAACATGCAAAGTAGATTTCAAAAGTAGAAGAGTAGCCTAACTATGAAGATTTGAGGAGATTTCAAGGAAAGTTAAACAAGGTAGATGAAGAATTCCAACCAGGAAGTACCTGGGTTCCCTAACAGGAACATGAAGACAACAAGTTGAGAAGCTCAACTTGGCCTGCGCTAAAGACAACAAGTTTCACAAGAACTTGGTCTGCGAAGTTCCAGTTGAGAACTGGAAGTCAAGTGACAGTAGGAACTTAGTCCTGGATTGCGTGAAGCCCAAGTACCTGGAATGCATTAATTAATGAAGTAATTTAGTTTTGTTATGTTTTTATTCTTTAGAATTGCTGTAAATATGTTTGGCAGATTTACACATGAGTTTTATTAGAAACGTGACAAAAGCTTGGCAAGCTTAAATTAGGAAAGTTTTACAGAAGATAAGTTTTGTGACAAGATTTATCAAAAAGATGTTATTTCATAAAATCTGGATTACTAAAAGATATTATTCTTTTCATAATTTATCTTAGATAAGTTTTTCAAAAAAGATTTACATAAAACCGTGTTTTGTGATTTTGGTAAATTAACAAAATTATCTTTTGAAAACCCTACTTTCTATACAAGCTAGTCTTGTATAAATTGTAGAAATCAGATTTCATATTTTTTGTGAGTTATGCGTAAAGAATTCAAAGACTGCTTAGTGTAAGTTTGCCAAGTTCATTGTTTGTCATATTAGTTTCGGATTTCATGTGTATCTTACCTTTCATATACTAGATTTGAATTATTTATATTGGTTGGTTCATAGGTGTGTGTGCGTGGTTTATATCTTTGCATACAGTTTTGAAGTTGAGTGAGAGTACTCAGGAAGTATGAGTAAATCTAAGTCAGGGACTTAGGTTGGGTAGAATAGGGTTCTACTGTATAGCAAGTTCAGTCTGGAACTTGCGAGTAAAGGTATGAGTTTAATAGGTTGTAACTTGGGAGTTTATCCTATTATAGTGGATTGGTTTGGTTTTGAAATCCCTTATAGGATCGAGGTTTTACTTTCTGTTGGGCCCTGGAAGATTTCCTCGTAAAATACTGTGTGCATTGCAAGTTCCTTTACATTTTTTTTATTATTCCGCAAAAATAGTCATTAGGAACTCACATACAATTCACCCCCTGTAGTGTTCGTCTCAACTAACATCTCTACTTACCTCTCGGATTTGGACTCTTTGCTTGACGATGTCTTAGATACTTGCTCTTTCTTTGATTTTATTTCTTGACCTCATGTAAAGCTAAAAGGAAATTTTGTTGCTCACCAACTATGGTCTAGTTGTTATCCTAATGTCAATACTACCTGTGTATTTATGGACAATTTGTCCTCGGATGAAAAAATCTAATTCCCTCACTTTTCCTAAAAAAAATAAATAAATAAAGCTTGTATCATACCATCGTACAAGTATTACTTTTGATGAACGTAAAACGACGTAGTAACGTAGCGCTCTTCTTTCCAAACTAGCCGTTACAAATCCGGCAAAGTGGGAATACACAAACTCATAACCTCCCCCTTCCCCTCCCTCTCCAAATCCGACCGTTGTAAAATTTTACCGTTAAACCCCATCCAACCCAAATATCCTCTTTTCCCTGAAAATTCCTCATTTCTTCTCTTATACACCACATCACTTCTCTCTCTCCCTCTCTCTCTCTCTCTCTCTCCCACCCACCCCCCCCCCCCAAACAAAGCGACGAAAATGGAAGATTCAACTTCAATTGTGATCGACCAAACTTACGAATTCTCTGCTCCAAGGTTTTATGACTTCATCAATGGCGAATCAGAGGAGGATACTCGAAACGCTGAACTTTGGTTTCAGTCTGCTCTTAGTCATGCTCCTTCTCGTATGTTTTTCTACCCTCAATTCTTTGTTTTTCTTGATCTGTTTATGAAGTTTGACTTAGGGTTTTGAAAGATTATTTATGGTTTCGGAAATTGTTATAATCTGTTCATTTTAGGGAAGATATTTCATTAATTGTTGTTATTCTGTATAATTTCCTCAATTAAGGAAGGTGTATCAGTAGTAATTGGGAACAAACATTTTTGATCGAATTGTTCAATTAGGGAATATATATTTTTCAGAAATTTGGTATAATTGGGTTGCAAACTTGTAATTGTGGATGATTTCTGTGGTTTTTCATTGCAATTGTTGCAATTTGGTGAATTAGTGGGTATGCAAAGTTAGAACTTGATGATTCTTTATTCCAATTAATTGCAGCGTTTATGCTGAGAATTAAGGCTTCTAGATCAGTTCAACTTAGCAGCCTTTGCGATTTTGGCGATGTTCAAACGACAACGCAGGTTAATCTCAGTTTCTAATTTTCGATTTCGACACTATAGTATTCGATTTTTCCAATTAATAATTGCTAGAAACTTAGAATTTTGTTGAATTGGTGATCTTGTATGACACAGGCCTCTGAATCACATAAGCCTACAACTGAATCATCAGTTTCATCAGAAGTGTTTTCATCAAAGCTAGATCAGATTTCTTCTGGGTGAGTATTTGATGTGATTTACATTACCATCAGCCCTTGAAAACACCAAATTTGTTTATTGATTAACATGTGATGCTGTATGATTAGCCAACATATGGGGATGCCTGGTGAAAGGAACGAAAACTCGGACCCGAACTTGATCAGTAGCCAACAAATAAGTATACCTGCTGAAGTATCTTGTGAGAAAAATTGCAAAGAAGATAGTAGGTGTGTTTCTGTTTGTTTGATTTTTTCTGTTGATTTCTCAAATTTTCTTCGGACATTGTCTAATTTAACAAGTCTGTTACTTTCAGTACTGTGACAGTAGTTGCTCCAGATGTGAAAATTGAACCAGAAATCATGGTGGAATCTGCAACCTGCCCTTCTCAAGGTTGGTTTCCTAGCGCAAGCTCATGGAACTGGCATTTACTTTTTATATATATTTTGCTTATAACTTTTTTTATGTTCCTTATGGGCTATTCATGTTAGCGGACCAAAATCATCTTGGGACTAAGGTTTTGTTGTGGTTGTTATTGCTTTTGACTTTTCTGAATATGACAGATGTATGCACCCCAAAACCGCCTGCCTTTACTAGTAAAGGAGGCCGAACGACGACCGAGCAAAAGAAGAAGCAGACGACCATGAAGATTGCAAGTGCACTAAAGAATCCATCAGAATTGAAATCGAAAATTCAGTCACACACAAGAAGTACTAAACCTGACGGTTTTAGGAGGTAGAACATTCAGTTATAGTCAAGATATACTTTGATTTATTGGTTTGTTGCCTAAATTTTGGTGCTAACCATAATTTAATTAATCAACAGAGATAGAAGAAACTTAAACAGCTCTGTTGGGACTCCTAATTTTGTCCAGGAAAACCAAGCCATCAAGAGGCAGAAACTGGATGATGGAAAAACTAGGCAGGTCAGTGTTTCATTATTGGGAAGAACTTTCAAAGCTAAAATTTTGTTACTAATTTTCTTCTTACAAGTATTACTTTGGTTGAAATGTATTTATTTTTGATCCTTTTTATTATTACCAAAACAGATCCTAAACATTAAGCCTCCTAATCTGCTCCACAAAATAAGACCAGGTGCCACCACTAGTTATTCCAATTTGTGCTCTAAAGCTAAACCCTCCAAAGACGACAGAAAAGTAAGATTTTCTTACAACAATTCTATGTACATATTGGATTATCTTGTTTCCAATCCTAGAACTAAATTGTACACTCTCATTGCATATAAAGATGTATGTTAGGGATCCTCCACTGCCGCCGGTGCCATTCGTTTCTACTGCAGAACTGATGAAGAAGTTTCAGTCAAGCACTAGAGATTCTTCACTGCCTCAAAATGTACTGTGACAAGATAATTTTTCATATATTTTTTTGGTTTCATTAAATTTTTTTATTTTATTTTATTTTTTTATCATCTTGATTCTAAATTTCAGTATGATGGTGGTGGTTCTGTGCAGGGGAAGTCTAAACTGCAATTGACAAGGCCTAAAAAACCTGATTTTGTATCTTCACAAAGAGTTCGTTTAATAAAGGTGAAGAGCTCTGCTGAGCTTGAGGAAGAAATGATGACTAAAATGCCAAAATTCAAAGCTCGGCTGCTGAACAAAAAGGTACTGTTAATGATCTATTTTCAATTAAACATCTTACTCCATTTCTGCACTGTAATGAAATGACATCCTCCATTTTGTTCAGATTCTTGAGGCCCCAACTTTACCTCCTTTACCCAAGAGCCTTCCTCGAAAACCAAAATTTCAGGTGGGATATTTTTCCATTGTTTAACTGTCATTTTGTCAAGTTTCATTATTGAGAGCTTATATCTGACTATGCATTCTATTTAGGAATTCCACTTGGAGACTTTGGAAAGGGCCAACAAGAATGCAGAAGTATCCTCCGTGGTCTCGACTGAATCTGGTCATCAGGTATTGAATAGTCTGAGAATACTATTCAGTTTATACTGTTAGATGAATGGTCTAAAATGCTTAAGCTTAACACGAGTCGTCCATTTGCATTGCCAGAAAAATCAGTGGAAATCTAATCATCTAATTGAACCAAAAACTCCAGTGCTGCAAACATCCTTGCGAGCACGCCCAACAAAGATAAAAAGTACACTTGAGATTGAGCAAGAAGAGCTAGAGAAAATCCCAAAATTTAAGGCTCGGCCTTTGAGTAAAAAGGTAGCATACAATTTACTTTTACAAAGCATGATTACAGAGTTATAATTTTAATTGAACTTGTGATGTAGATATTTGAAAGTAAGGGGGAATTGGGGTTGTTCTGCAACAGCAAAAAGCAAGTTACAAAACCCCAAGAATTTCATTTTGCAATTGATGAGAGGATTCCGCCACCTTCTTCTAGTGTTGTCGATCTATTTGACAAGGTACGGTATAACAGTTTTTCTGCTGTACTTTAATTGCTTGTTGGAAATTAGCTTTCCTTACATTCCATGTCTTCTTTCAGCTGTCTTTATGTTCAGAGTCATCAAACCATGAGAAACATCTTCCAAGAAATACAAAGCCTAATCCATTCCATCTTTACACTGAGGTATATTTGTTTTTCCCATAATGTGGAATATTGGAATAATATTTCAAATTGCAATTGGTAACTTACAGAATTTGTTGCATAAAACCAGGAAAGGGGAGCTGAGAAAGAACGAAGATTGATCACTGAACTTGTGCAAAAACAGATAGAGGAGGAAAAAGCCAGAGTTCCGAAGGCTACCCCATATCCTTACACCACTGATTTCCCTGTGGTATACAATCTAATATAATCTTCTAATGCTATTTTTACTTTGTCCTGCCTTTTTCTCCTCTAATGTTTTTTTTGCTGATGTTGCAGGTTCCTCCTAAACCTGGTCCTAAAGAATGTACTCAACCTGAGCCTTTCCAACTCGAGAGTCTAATTAGGCACGAGAATGAAATGAGAAGAGAAATGGAGGAAAGACTTAGAAAGGAAAGAGAAGAGTCTCAAATGAGGATCTTCAGAGCTCAACCAGTCCTGAGCAAGTAAGCATAAACATAAGCTGAATAGATTTTCAAACATCTGCTGGATAAATTTGTTACAAAGAGCCTCTTGCTAACATTGATTCCTTGCCTCTTTCTTTGCAATTTCAGGGATCCTATTCCTCTTCCTGAGAAAGAACGTATGCCTCTCACTGAGGTTCAGGAGTTTAACCACCACGTACAACATCGAGCTGTTGATAGAGCAGAATTTGATAAGAAAATTAAGGAAAAAGAAATGATGTATAAAAGATATAGAGAAGAGGCTGAGGCTGAAAAACAGGTGCATGTACTTCCGTTTGTCATACAAAGATACATGCAATTTTGTAGTTATTATACTGACATTTTTTATCCGTTAGATGGAGGAGGAGAAGGCCCTGAAGCACCTAAGGAGGACCTTGGTGCCCCATGCCAGACCTTTACCCAAGTTTGCTAACCCATTCGTACCACAAAAGTAGGACCTTAAACTGTTCTTAAAATTTTATCAATATTTATCAATTGGTGTTACTTTATTCCATTGACTAAAAATTTCTTATACGGTGGTGGTTATATGCAGATCTTTTAAGGATCCAACGAAGCCAAAATCCCCGAAATTGCATGTTCTCAGACGGAGGGAAAGAAAGGAATCAGCAGGCACCGATATAAAGGCTGCTCAATCTGCTGCAGCTGCACTAATGAGGTGATCAGGTGTGGGTGCTGTCCTGTTCAAGAACTCTTTGAACCCTCAAGGGTTATTCTGTTATTCATTATACATATTGTAATCTAAGTTGTAAAGGTTTTGTGGAGGAATGATGAAAGCAGTAATTTTTCAAAGTGAAAATAGCATCCAACTTTCTTACTTTGGGTAATATGCGCGACCCTTTCATGGATCTGACATCCAACTTCGTTACTCCGATGCCTGAACTAAATTATCGAATAGGCAACATTTGCAAAAATTATGGAAATTATTACTCCATACTTGTAGCATAACATCCAAACTAAATGATGACCTAGAAGAACTAGGCTTTATAGAAATTTGTGGTACATGATTTCTACGTGATTAAAGAAGCTAACCAACCAACCTTTATTCACATATATCGTAAAGCCAAACAAAAGAAACTTTTTTAGCCATCCAACTTGGTATATTAGGTTGCTTACAGCCTTACACACCTCAAAAGTCACAATATATTAACAACCTAAAAAACTTGTTGTTACAATATGAAGTATTTTCTTATGTTATGTCATTTTCTGATGGTTTTAGTCATTGCTTTAGCAACAGAAAATCAAGACCTACGAATACCACCAGAACTACCAATGCAACAAAATGGTGTGCCAACTAACCAGCAATGCATTATCGGCACCACATTTGACATGCAAGATTGTTACTCTTACTTGACCTACGAAAACATGCCCTATCCTCCTAACTCTTGTTGCTTCGTGCTCCAGGACCTCAGGTCAATTGATGCAGATGGGAAAACTTTCACAGTTTGTCGGTGTCTTCAAGCTCTTTTAAGTGACAAACATGTAATTACAAGTCGAGCAAATGCAATGACTGAACAATGCAACGTTAGTTTTAGTTTTGATGTCTTTAGTGGAATGTTTTGCTCCTGAGTCCTGATGATACTATAATGAGAATTGAAATGCTTTAAATGGCACAACCAACTTCTTAGAAAATTAACAAATTTCATGCTCTATCAAAGATATGACTGAACAATGCAACGTTAGTTTTAGTTTTGATGTCTTTAGTGGAATGTTTTGCTCCTGAGTCCTGATGATACTATAATGAGAATTGAAATGCTTTAAATGGCACAACCAACTTCTTAGGAAATTAACAAATTTCATGCTCTATCAAAGATATACTCGAAGGTGTAAAAAAAAAAAAAAAAAAAAAAAAAAAAAAAAAAAACTCGTATAAAATTTATACTTCCATCACGTGATGGTTGCACTAGTTAAGAATTTTTGTAAAAATCAACCTATTTACTTATTGATGAATAAGAATCTCTTATTAAACGAAACGGACTCATATTAATCGGCCCGTGCTCGGCCCGTTTATTTAAAGTTCAGTCCGCGCGCGGCCTGAACTTTAAATAACCATGATTTTTCGCGCGGCCTTAACTTTAAATAACCATGATTTTTTTTTTGAAAAAAAAAATCTTAAAAAAAATAAAAAACTCCATTTTTATCAGTTACACTCCATTACTATCGACTTAACTTCACGTTTTCGAATTATTAGCATCACTACTTTATTTTCTAGCTTTAAAAATTTATTTGCATGTATTTAATTTTTACTTCTTCTATATAAACCCTAACTTTCGTCATTTTTTACTCCATTAATTTCTGACATTCCGTCGATTAAAGATTCTTCTCTGTTAAAAGTTTATCTTTTTTTTGAGGGGCGTTAAAAGTTTATCTTAATCGAACTAAACAAGCACGGAAACAGAAGAAGACAGTTGCAATGGCTGAAAGGTTTATTATATTTTAGTTATTTTTTAGGTTATACTCTTTTTTAAAAAAATCCATTTTTATAAATTATTATTTTGTTTTGTAGGGTCAATTCAGAACCTCCGTTGAAGAAAGCATGTTCCTAAACCTGGTTCTAAACGAAGTCGACCTGTTAGGTGTAAAATTCTATTCTATTTATTTCGCAAAAAGACATAGCATTCTATAATTGTTGTTTCATATAGAATCATTTTTCTTGGGAAACATACATATCTGGTTATTATATTGTAATTTGATAATAGATTATTTTTGTCAAGATTATCTTGTTCTTGTTTTTCCCTTTGGTATGGATATGGTTGTTTCACTATGCATAATGCTATATCATGATGTGAATACTTAAGAGTTTTGCATTTAATATTTTTAAGTCATAAATAAGATTGTTATTTTTCGGAATTAGACATTATTAGCCAGGAATTAGGATGATTTAGCCAGATATTAAATAGTTCACTTCAAGTATTGGTGTATTTTAGTCTGACATATTATTCTATAAGTCAGAAATTAGCAAGTTTAAGTTAGATATTAGCTTACTTATATCAAGGATTGATTTATGTTTATCAGGCATAAAAAAATTAAATATTCAATTGATGATGTGAGTACTTAGAGTTTTGCATTTTAACAATTTTAAGCCATAAATAAAATTATTATAATCAAGAATTAGCATGCTTTATTCATTCAATTAAGTTATTGGTGTATTTTAGTCTAGCATAACATTCTAAAAGTAAGAAATTAGCAAGTTCAAGTCAGAAATAAGATTAATATAATAAGGAATTAAATAATATTAGTCAAGAATTAGAATGGTTAGAAAATTCATCTCAGGTGTTGGTGTATTTTAGTCAAGAATAACAATTTAAAAGTCAGAAATTAGCACGTTTTAGTCAGTTATTGGTGTATGTTTATCAAGCATAAAAATATTTAATAGTCTTTGATTTTACTTAGAGTGGTTGTCGGTAATTTGTGGTTTGGATAAAGTTATTTAAAATAAAGATATGTTTATTATTAGGAATAAGATTATTTTGGTCAAATATGATTTATTTTTGTCAGCAAAAAGATATTTATTCTCAGAAATAAGATTACTATTATCATGAATAACATAATTATTATCATGAATAAGAATGTTTTAAATAACTCTCAATTTTAATGTGATTTTTTACTTTTAAAATTTTGAGTTCTCATACTGAAGATGATATTCAAGACTTAGAGCTTGGTAATAAATCTGGTCCTAATCATCGTTGTAAAATTCTGGAAGATTTAAGTGATCAGCAAAAGAATGATGTACAAGAAATTGGTATTGGTGGGTTGCTAAATATGAAATTGAAGGATATATAATATGAGCCATCAGTTGCATAGTTATATAGTAACTCATTATAATCCCAAGGCAAGAAGTCTGATTGTTGGTAAAAAGGAACATGTCATTCATATTGATAGTTCTGATATTGCTGATGTTTTGGGTATTCCTTATACTGAAATGCTTTAATCCTAATGACAGTTTGAAGTTAGAGTGGAAGAAGTTTTTGGGTTTGGATATAGAAGATGAATTGGAAAAAGGAAATGACTCTGAAACTAACAAGAAAAAGAAGAGGAAAACTATTGATGAATCTGAAAAAGGTATTCAAAGTAAGAAGAAGAAATCTGAAAAAGCAGCTCAAAGTAAGAAGAAGAAGACATATGTCAATTTTCTTACTTATCAAGCATTGTTTGAGAAATATAGGGGAGGGGGAAGTTATGAATTCAAGAGATCTTTGTTATGTTTGTTGTATCTAATTTTTTGGCACCGATTGGTGATAAGTCGCCTAATTTTAACATCATCAAGTTTTTGTAAGATGTACATTTCATAAAGACTTACAACAGGGCTAGTTATGTGATGGATTGGTTATGTAATTCAATAGCAGAGTTTCAGGCTTTTGTTTTGAAGAAGAAGGCAGGAGAAGAATTGAAAACTAAATCAAAACAAGTAAATGGCTGTTTGGTTGCCTTTATAATTGCTTTTTTGCAAAAGTTTGAGTTTGTGACCACTTTAGATAGGAAGCCATTTGTAATGAATTGGTCATGTGAAACTCTGAATGAGAGGATTAAAGCCGTTGCTGAAAATATTGATTACGGTACTGTGAAATTGTATCCTCATACATTACCATTACAGTATGCTGGGAAAAGTGAACAGGAGCTTCTAAAATCTTTTCAGTTGGATAACATTGAGTTTAAACTTGAAAATACTGATGATGATGAAGATTCTGGTGAAATTAAAGATGGTTAGGGTGTACAATCTGCCCCCATTGATTTGAAAGCTGAAGATGACGAGCTAGATATGTCATGTACATGATTCCTAAAGAGTACCCCACTGATGATGAGATTGATAAAATGGATATTGATGTAAGTTTAAAATCTCGTCTTTTTATTAATTTTTTAAAGCTTTTGATTCAAGAATTCATACTTTATAACCTGATGTTATGTACTAACTCTTTTTGTCAGTAATTCAGTGATTAATATAATATGAATGAGGATTAATTGCAGTAAGAAATTAGTTTAGTTTTATCAGGATTAAGAAATTTAATATCAGGAAATAAATTGTCTCAATTATCATTAATATTGTAAGTCAGAAATTAGATTACTTTCATTATGAATATGAGAATTTTGGTCATGAATGAAATTCTTTTAGTCTGGAAATAACTTATATCTCAATTAGGAATAACATTGTTTCAATCAGAAATTAGATTATTTTTATCAGGAATAACAACATTTTAGTCAGGAATGTGTTAATTTTTACCAGGAATGAATTTTTTTAAGGTAGGAAATAAGTTATCTGATTCAGGAATAATATTGTTTTAGTCAGAAATTATATTATTTTTATCAGGAATGAGAATGTTGTAATTCTCTTGCAGGTAGGACATTTTATTATATTTAACTCATTCACTCTTTATTCTGTTTTTTTATTAGGTTGTGAAGAAGAAAATGATGAAATTTGGTCGTGACTTGAAGATCGTATTAGAGAACCAAATTCACTTTGCTATTGATTTGAAAGATGAAGGAATAAAAACTTCACAAGAATCTCAATCTCAAGGAAAAGATGATGTATATTCCAATCCATAGTTCTCAAATTAGCAAACATTGATGAAATAGTGTCAGCTGCTATGCAGAGTAAAAATTTACCCACTGAGTTGGATAAGTTTGATCTTAAGCTTAAGCTTGATGAAATTGTAAGTTTAATTACCTTTATCATTATTTTTTATATGAAATTAATTTAAGATTTATGTTTGATATCTGTTTCGGGGTTTTCTGATGTCCAGCGGGAGAGTTACAATTCCAAGACTGGAACCGGACGCCTGTACCTGCAAAACAAACGGATGCTCCGGATGATTGGAGATCCGCCTCCGACGGTCAAGTTAGTACTTGATTAAGGAGTAATTAATGCGGAAATTAAAGTGATTGGGTCTCTCTAGGTGAGAGAGTTTAATGTGTGTAATCTGCGTCATCTCCCTTAATGAGGATTAAGGGAGGTATTTATAACCTCGGAAAACGTGCCAATCTAGGTTTAGGTTAACCTTGGGCTGATTGGGCTTCCCACGGAAGTTGGGCCTAGGTGACCGGTTATCCCAGGTGTCATGGGAAGGACACGTGTCGTGTCGTAATTGGTCCATAGTGGACGGATCATTGCTTGACACGTGGCAGGCTCCTATTTGCCCATGTGACGGACACATGGCGGAACCTGATTGGTCCACTTGTCAGATGGTGATTGGTGGGGAAAAATCCCCTAATCATTTGCCCCTCACAGGTGGCACGTGACTGGTCACGTGTTACCTGTGACAGGTATCGCCTTGTAACAGGCGACGGCCTGCTACAGGTGTCACTCGGCGAGAGGCCGAGAGATTCTCCCGCCAAAATTTTGAATTCTGGAAGTGACCCTTCGCCTTCTCACTTCGCTTATATAAAGGAGTGTTGACTTCGGTCATTTTCACACTTGAAAACTTTGTGAGAGAACATTCAGACCCCTGAACTTGCTCTGACATTTTGGACCCTTTCTGCCTACCGCCTGCTCTGACAAGCCGACTGCAAAGGATTTTCAGAACTTCATCAATCGTCACTCGTTCAGGTAACCGTCGGTTCTCTTACTCTTAATTTTCTCTTTACTTTATTCTTTTTTGAAATGGCACCACGGAAGCACACGACACGACCTAGGTTAGTGATCAGCCGGTCACCGGGGACGGCTGAATCTAGGACTAGGAGTGCCGCCTGCCCTTTTCTGGACCCATCTTTGCCCTTTATACAAAGTCCGACTTTATCTGTGTCGATGTAGAGCATGATGGCCAGAACAAAAAAGACTGCCAGGATCTCAAACTCAGACGGCTCCTCCCACAGGGTGCCGATTAGTGAAACATCTGACCAGGCGCCAGATGTGGAAGTGAAACAAAGCGG